CGTTGGCTCGCCAGGCACGTACGTGGCTCGAGTGCTCTCACCTCCGGGTCTGACCTTTAATGTGGAACCTAAGACCTTGAAGTTCGACAAGGTTGGTGAAGAGAGAAGTTTTACTTTGACAATTGAAGTTATAAGGCATGGTACTGAGACTACATTCGGAAGGATAATTTGGTCCGATGGAAAGCATTTTGTGAGAAGTCCTATAACTGTTGGTGGTGTTCTGGTTTAGAATGTTCAGTAGCAACTATTATGTCCATGTACTATGAATCTAGCGGTTTGTATTCCTTTAGGATTAATTATGAACTTCTCTAGGTTTTGAAGTTATTTAATAACAATTTTTGAAAATAAACTATTCTTATTAATGATTAGAAGAATAATATAATATTACGTACTTTATATGAAGATGTAGCATGAAAACAAACATTATCTTACTAAATGAGATCGACTACATGGATCGCACAACATTTTGCTTTATCAATCATCAAATTTTTGGATAAATTGTTAACCAAAAAAAAATCTCATTTAATAACTTCATTCAGTGTTCTTTTTTGTCTTCCTCTACTCTTTTTATGAAGACTCCATACTTGATCTACCATTTTTATTGTCTCCTCCAATGGACCTTTTTGTACATGTCTAAACTACCTGAAACAATTTTCTACTATTTTCTCTTCAATAAACACTACATTAACTTCTTTAATTTTTTCATATATTTTCATTATGAATCTTATTTGTTTTTTGTATAGCCTTATATTCATCTCAACATACGTCCTCATCTCACCTATCCCAACTTTAGCAATTAAAAAAACAATATGATCAAATAATGTTTATAATTAAAAGCCATTAAACAACTTTTCAAATAAGACCCCAGAAGAAAAGACTGCATCACTCTAAAATAAAGGGGTTATAATTTCATACATCGTACAAATGTTGCTATAATTTCATACATCGTACAAATGTTGTGTCCACCCCAAAGCTGCGTATTCTAAGCAAGGCATGAACAGATCATGAATATTGTAAGCTCACCAATATAATCTCTCTCTCTCTCTCTCTCTATATATATATATATATATATCTTCAAATAGCTGATGAATCAATTTCGTTGTTCCTCAATGAAAATGGCAGGAGCTTGTTCCTTGATTGTTCTGGCCATTGCGTTGCTGATATCAAGCTCTGAAGCTGAGAGCCTCACAATAAGTCGGCGGCCTCATTTGACTGCTGTAGTGAAGTTAGCCCACATATCCAACCCTGTGTACCATACTTAACCAGATTTGTCTATGATTCCTAACAATTGTGCCTTTAATTTTACCTTCCCCGCAATTCGTCAACACAATGATTGCCACAAACCGTAGGACTCTTTAGTTTTTTTTTTCCGCATTAGTTAGATGATTAGTTCTACCTTCTTTTTGGATATGTATGTGTATATATTATTAACCTATTAGTTAGTTAATAATACCTCTTATCCTTAATGTAAAACCTTAATAACTAATTTAGAGATATTAAGAAAATTAGCTAAGTTGACTATTTATAACAAATTAAATATGCGTTGGCTTTTATAAATAGCCCCATTCAATCATATGCATTAGAACTATTTTTTGGTGAAACCCTCTTTGTATATCCAATAAGGATACTTTGAAAAAAATTATAAATTTAAAAACAAAGCAAATTAAGATTTATATTTATGTTTAAATTTAACCCTAAACTAGATAGTATTAGATGATTAGCTTATTAACTTGTATATTTACGTGTGTGTGTAGCAAGTTGGAAGATGATAATTAACTCTTCTTGTTTGCTTATGCAGGATTCCGCCATATGGGATATAGAGAGTTCATGAATGGAACCACAAGCTTGCTATATAATCTTATCATAAAACATCACAAAATCCTAAAATATATCCATGTAAATTTTTATGAAATTTTCTAAATGTATTGGTGATCTGTCTATGATATCCCATGTGAAAATATGGTAAATTTTAATCCAATTTGCTTAAAATTTGGACTTCTTCTTTTTTTGCCCAAAAAATTTGGACTTTAGACTCCATATATATACGCATTAAGAAAAGTTGTTACGTACTATTAATCGTAGCACTGACTATTTTTAAATGTACTTAAGTATTAATTTGTGTGCATTAATTTTTCGGAAGATCGATTTTTTTTAATGTAGCCAATTTTATGTCAATTCTTCAGAACAATTTCATTATTACGTTCACCTCAGTGACAAGGACACGTTAAAGCTAGATACATTGTACGTACTTAGGGACACTTTCAGAAAGATATCATCAGATATTCATAGATTCATATCAAACTCTTCTCACATTATGCTTTGTACGTATTTGATAACAGAGGAAAGTATAACATATTGAAATTGGATGATGAAGGTACATACCCCATCATGAGAGAGGGAAAAATAATAACAATCATAAACTACATATAAATAGAAAGAAAGTGTTTTTTCCTGCCATTCATAAAGGTAGGTGATGGTCTAATAATTTAGTATATGCGGACCGATCTATTTTGCTTTACTGATCAGTTATTTCTACCTTTTGGCATAATATAGCAGAGTGATGAAAGAAAAAATAAACAGCCGAAATTGCGTGTATTTATTAATGTCAAAATTAAACACAAGTGCGTGCGGGAAATTTCATAATAAATAGTAATTGGGCAGTGACATGCATGGAGAATGGAGCAATATTTGTTTTATTGAGACTTTTTTATACAAAATTTTAGGAAAAGAGTTGGGCTTACCCACGATCCAAGAACAGGACATCTAACGCTTGATCTGTGGGGACATGTCCCTACGGGCACGGGAGCATGACAAGCAAGTCCTTTTTCTTTTAACCCAATAAGTAGGATTCTTTTAACTTTACTACGCTTTGGAGATGCCTCTCTCAGCACCGCGACTGGAGCCACAACAAAGTGGCACTCCCCGGGATCAAACTCCTTTCTTTTGATGAGAGAGTCCGACCCCTTCGCCAGCTGAACTCACGGACGAGGGTTTGTTTTATTGAGATTAATTACTATTTAGATCAAGATTAGCAAGCTTTTGGGGGCTGCATAATTCAGTGAAGACTAGATTCAATGTGACGACCCCAGCAAAGCCAAAAGAAAAGTCATATGATCAAAATGATTATGGTTAATTACCCGTAGAAATTAACTTCATAATTAAGGCCAATAAGAGTCGGTCCTAAATTCCAAATGAAAAGGACTTTAATTCGGCCGGTCTTAATCATTGGGCCCGACACTCCTCAAATATCCCCGATCAGGTAGTCATATGAAAAAAAAAAAATTAACATGATAATAACAAACATATGCAGTAATAAATTGAAAGAAATGCCTTGGGAGAGTTACCTTCAACTAGGTCTCAGAATCGTCGAATATCCCCAATTAGATAGTACTCCTCCGGTCCTAATTATAAGACCCAATTGACTTATTTGAGGAGATTAAGGAAGTAAGTTAAGTTGATTATTTATAATAAATAAATGTTGTTATTCCTAAAATATCCTTGCTAATTAAGTATATTGGCTAAAACTATCATTATTAGAAGAATTATCTTTGAAAAAAATGCATAAATATAAGAGATAAAATGGATTGGGTCTTATAATTAGAACCAAATAAAAAGTCAAATTGGGTCTTATAATAAGGACCGGAGGAGTATTAGACATCGGGATCAAATCCACCCTTAATAAGCCGGACTATTTGATCCAAAAGAAAAAAATCTCTTGGATCAAGAAAATCAATCACAAATCAGAAGCAATTAGTAATTGATTAGGGAATATTCAATCAAACATTTAGTACTTGATTGATTGGAGAGAAATCAATTAGACATTAATTGATGATCGTGAAATCGGAATGTCATCCCACAATAAATGAGAGAGATTGCATCTGCCTAAAATATGAGCCACCCTGGCCCTATAAATAGGAGGTGCCTCCAACTATTTTCTTCACCCCACACCGTAAAGCTTTATGGTATTCTCTTTCCCTTTCTCTGCCATTCTATCAAGATTCTTGTAGTCAGAATATTGCGTGAGTCACCAGCATCACGACCCGAAACTGACTCAGTACGTTTCTTTTTCCTATCTATTATTTCCTTCAGATAGTCATATAAAAAAAAATTAACATGATAATAACAAACATATGCATGTAAGTAATTAAATTGAAAGTAGCCAGTCTTATACGTACGCGGTGCAATTATCATCGTTAATGGCAGGAACGGTGACAGGGAAAGAGAAACCACAAACTTTAGGGATATTGATGGTGAGATTGGGATGATAGGGCTGACCATTTTGCTTGAAGCATTGTTCATTCCAATTTGCTATCAGACCCACTCGAAGCTAAGTTGGAAGGCACAAAATTTTTAATATTGTGTTTTTTTTTTTCACTGTGTAAGATGACTTAGTGATGATTTAGAATGAGCAATACGAGAAAATTATTCAAAAAAAGTGCTCCTCTAACCTCAAATATAAAACCCAATTCGTATTATAATTTACACTATAAAATAAATTTTATATTTAATACCGGAACTGAGTGAGTGAGTTGAAACTTTTAAGAGAGACAAAGCTAAAACACTATCTTCCCATCATTCAACATCATCAGCAAATAAATAACATTATAAATTATTTTTTCAGAATAAAGGGGTTGAGTACCCCCGCAGAGAAGTGGCCAGGGAAAGATTAATGGTTTTGCGAATGAAATCCATAATCAATAAATACGAATTGAATCTTTACCAAAAATAAATACATAAATACGAAATGAAGTTTGTAAAGTAATCACATGGCTGGAATAGATGCGTGTGAGCAAGCGATGCCACGTGCACGCATCTCACTCACTCCTCTCACGAGTCACAACCTCCTTCTGAGTCAGGAAAAATAGAGAGCCACAAAACAAAATCGCTGCCTAAAGCAATTTTTAATGCACAAAATAGCCCATTCATCTATAACAGCTCCTATTCCCTTCCAACTTCTCTGTGGCTGCAAACTCCAGGACTTGCAAGTTTGGACAGATTCAGAAGAGAGTAAAACCACGCTTGTATTTCAATAAATGAACACTTCTTTACCAACATGTCTAAAAATACGGACATCACTAATCAATCAATTACACCAAGTGGATCGGCTCAGCCCATACAATATAACCTTATCCCACTTTATCAATGACGTAAAAGATAATTAGTATCCATACCGAAGTTATAAAAAATAAAAATAAGAAAACCACAAGAGAATGCAAATTAAAGCAAACAGGCTATGTTCCACTTCAACTGCAGCAGGCTCCACCCTGAGAAGACGAGCCATCCCTGCCTCCAGATGGTCCGGGAATTCCACCGTATCCCACTTTTATTCCGTAAGACTGCCACCATATAATTATGTATCATCAATATGGGACAGTGTGGTTTACTTCAAAATCATTGTTCACAAAAATCCTCTAATTTGTAAGGTTATATAACATGATGTATCAGGAAACCTTTAAAAGAACAATAAACTGATCCTCCATATTTTAAGAATGTTGTCAAATTTCCATAGTAGATAGCGAAGATGAAAGACGCAAACCTCATTTGATACATCAAAAACTCCATCCTGAATCTTCTTGTATATGGTTGCAGCTGTTTTAATGAACGCCTGCAAGAGGACAGGTTACATCAGAAAGCTTTGCTAGATTAAGATGATACGAAATTAAACCTTTTGTGGGGGGAGGGGGTTTTCAGCTTTCAACAAACACATGTATGATGGGAATTTTTACCTCTTCAACATTCTGAGCTGTTTTTGCTGAGGCCTCCATGAAGATTAGCCCATGCTCTTTAGCAAATTGTTCGCCTTCCTCAGTGCTCACTGCCCTTCTGTGAGCAAGATCACACTTATTGCCTATCAACATTATTGTCATATTTGCATTGGCATGCTGCCTTGCATCTTCCAACCAGCTAGCCAAGTGGTTAAATGTCTCCCTCCTATTGATAAGACCCAGGTCAGAAACTTTCACATTGTCCAAGGTGCAATTTGCTAATAAACACAGTATCAAAATAAAAACTGCACAAAGATGCATGAATCAATAACATCTCAAAACTTTTAACAGCCCCATCAAATTCAGTATGCATGACACTCCTCTCCTGCAACTAAAATACCTTGACTAATACTCAATCATAGATGGCCATAAAAACTCAAAAGACGATGTCTAGCATCATTGTTGTTTTTTTTCCCTCCACCGATATTTTGTTCTTTGACTAACAATACGTGTTCTCCCTCAATAAATCCAGATACGATCACCTAATCCTTGCCACAAAACTTAAAAACAATTATCGTACAAGTAAACTGCGAGATGCCTTCAAATTTAATAGTACCTGGTTATATCATAGACGAGCAGTGCACCTGCAGCTCCCCTGTAGTAAGACCTTGTGATAGACCTGAAGGATTCTTGACCAGCCTGACATATTACAAGCACACTCAGTACCATAGACCTAACACAAAAATAGGACACACTAAAATATGCTTAGCATGATAGTGACTAAAACAAGCCTGAAGTGATCAACAAAGCCATTAGAACAAACAGAAATGACTCGATCACAATCAGATAAGGGCACCACTACACCCTCCTGCACTATATTTAACAATTAGTAATATGAGATCATCAGCTCCGGCCACATATATTATTTAGGGAAGACATACCAGACCCCCTAAATGGGCCAGACAGGAAATAAATTCTCATACATAAGATGCTCAATTAAAAATATCACAACTTATGGGTAATTCCTTAAATGAAAAGTAACATATGCAATGCAGAATCCCAGATTTAAACTCCTTAAGAATTTGGATCAAGTCCAAGTATAGGAAGGGGGTCAAACCGTATCCCATATCTGCAATTTGATGGGTTTGTTATCAATGGTAATCATCCTGGCCCCAAATTCAACACCGATGGTCAAGTCGTGGACAGGTTGAAAGCGCTTGTCGGTAAATTGAAGTAGAAGGCATGACTTCCCTACACCTGCAGTGGGAAAAATCGTGGCTCAGTTCCGAACAGATGAACTCATGAACTAATTTTCTGATTACAGTTACAACTACAACATAAATAAAAAGGAGAACTACAACAAAGAACAAATTGCAGCCATAGATCCTCCTCAAAGAACCAGTATCCGATTATGTACGGAACCCTATTTCGCAAACATTCTGCAAGGCCATTTTACGAAGGACGTTATAGTGAATAAATAGAACCGATTCTTCTGTGTCTATCATCTTTATCAAAACGGTCAATTATCAATAAAAAAGGGGGAAAGAAGTCCTATAGAATGTATAGCTTTGAATTAAGGTAGACGACTTCTACAATTCTTCCTGAAGTGGACAATCCGAAAGAACCAGAAAAGTCATGAAGATGATTCACCGATAATTCAATCAAACAAGTTACAAAAGACAAAGGGCTTAAGACTTAACTGATGAAATTAAGCAACCCCAGATCAGGAAGCAACACTACTCCGATTGCAAAGCAAAGTAATTCTCAAACCCAAAATTTCTCAGGACTGAAATTAAATTAAAAAGGGGGGGGGGGGGAGAGAGAAATTACCGGTATCACCGATGATGATGTATTTGAAGAGGTATGCGTATGACATTCTCTGTGTTGGCGATACGGATGAAGCGCGAAGACTCGAAGTTCAGATCTTTCGAATTCAATAGCACTTTCTGAGAAAACAATCTTAAATATATACAGAAAACCCCGGGAAGAGATATAATTATAAAGCAATCAGAAGAAGGAGAGAAACGAAGGAAAGAATTGAATGAAAAGCAGAGAGAAAGAGAGAGAGCCAAAATCAAATAGAAACTTCCGAAGCAACTTCCAGAGAGGCCAATACGCTTCCGTCTCCGGTTCCAACTTCTCTATACTTTCCTTCGGTTCCGCTTGTCATACTCATGTCCTTCAGTAATATGCTGTACGACACGTGCGAAAAGATGGCCCACTTTTTTTTTAAGGGGAAAAAAAAAAAGAATTGGGCCTTCTTCCACAAGCAAGAACCCAACTGGTGATAATTAATTATTTATATGTGGATATATATGTATATATAACAATTATCTATTATCCTTATATCTCAAAATAATTTTTTCGTAAGGTTCCAATTATCAATTTTTACCTAAAGAATTAAATTTTTTATTGACTCACAATAGTCGAGAATAATTTTATTACTTATAAATAGTATGATTTATATAAATTTATATTATATATTATACATGTATTATAAATAATAGGCATGGATAAAATATTCTTATCTTTTTTAAGGAGTGATAAAATTATATGATATTCTTCACTAACACGAAATTATGCAAATTTTACCATGATAAAATGTTATCAATAAAATATACTTGTTATCCATAAAAGATACTTGTCAAAACTCAAGAGTATATTTTTATTCCTTTAATTTTTATAAGTATTTTTAAATCTTTTAAATCTTTATGGAGAAAATGATAATCTTTTATGCTGATTTATATTATTTTTAAAAATAAATTTAATATATCATTATATAAAAATAATTTTACTCACAAAACAATATTTTTTAAGATGGAAAGATTAGAATATGAAATGTTACGTAAAATTAAACAACTAATAAAAATGTATCATTTACCAAGAAACTTTTAAAAAAGTTAGCATGCATAATAATTGCTAAAAGACAAGCCGCTGTAATGGTATCAATATTATCCAAGAAAGTTCATCATGATGGATAGGAAAAGGCAGAGAGCGTAAAAAAAGGTGGCGTGGTTAAAAAATTAGTTCCATATTAATTATCATCAACACAAAAGAATGTTGTCCCCATTCAATATTTAATTTGGTTATAATTCATTAAAAAAATAAATAAAAAGGCACCTAATTTAAGCTGTACAATAAACAAGATGAAAGAAGACCATGGTTTTAAGAAAAAAGATGTGGGAGGATTATTATAGTATATGGTAGCTAGCATGTCTATTTACGTAATGGTTATATTTTTAAATAAGCTTATTTTGTCTATTATATATGTTTGATACAATCAACATTACATTCATAATTATCATTAATGAGGATAGCTTTAAAACCATAATTAATTAGTATCCCTATTCCTAGTGTCTGAGATCTTCATCACCGCCCACAACCTTATCTTTTTATGATTATTTTTTTTAAATATCTATGAGGCGTTTTAAAAAAATAATAATAATAAAAGATGTGATTATATTATAAGGAATGAGTGCCCAAAAAAGTCGTATAATTAGATTGATGAAATCGTATATTTTATTTTTGAATTTTGTATTGATAGAAGGATAACAAATAAGAACATTCATGTAATTACTTATTTAAAAAAAATAACAAAATACTACTAAACTTAGGATTGTGTTTGTTTGGCCTAGTAAGATGGCATGTAATTACTTCCTTACTAAGGATTTGATGAGCATCAAACCTCGCAAGAGCCAGCTCTGGCCTTAAAAGTATTTTAACGCAATCAAACACCTTATCTTGTGCATGTGAACGCTAAAGTATAACTTTACTTTTTATATTTACATCAAACCTCACATTAATTTTTTTAATTTCATAAAGTATATTTTTAGTTTTTTAATGGCTGTCAATTTCATCTTACACGAAATATTGACTCATCAAAATATAGATGACAAAATAATACTTTGCTCAAGACAAGAGTAACTATTACTAAATACACAGTACTCCTTCAGTCCTAAATATAAAACTCATTTTGTAGTGTAAATTACATTACAAAATAAGTCTTATATTTAAAACCAGAGGAGTATTATTTTATGTATGGGGTATTTTTTTAATAAATGGATTTAAATAAAATATATAGAAATGCATGGCTTAACAATTTAGCTTTTTTTATACGACTTTACTTTTATATTACTCTTTTTTTTCCCAATATTTATAGTGCATGTGTAAATTTTTTTCGCTAAAGCATAGGTATCTTCTTATTAGAATCAATCCTATTTGAGATTATTGAGCACCAAATGTGGACACATCTTCTAACAGAAATTTAAACTTTAATTTATCATATTGTGAGAGACTAGTCTTTTTTGTTAGACCCAATATCTACCGGTTATAACACGTGTAAATGACTAAATGTACAAATTCCTGAACTTTTCACAGATTATTGGGCCCAAAGTATTTCGCAATTAAGCTCTCGGGGCATGCTGGTGTTAAAAAAAAAAAAAACGAGTTTTCCGGGGATTGAAAAGCTTGGACCCTGTCCGATAGGAAAAATACAAAAATTGGAAATGAGCCCAAAGTTGCCTTTACTACTTCGGTCCTAGAGCAATCAAAAAGATTTGACCCAGAATAAAATTCCCCTTATTTCTAATTATAATATTACTCATAGAATAATCCATAGGATATTCCCCCATGGTGAAATTTTGAATAATAAAACAAGGCGAAATTAAGAATAAGAACATCATCACGAATTTAATCGGAAAAAGGCACGAGCCAGCTGGGATCAGCTTATATAAAAAAATATATTTTATTTTGTAAAACATGAAGTTCTCTTTTAAATAAAATTTGGGAATTAGAAATGATCACAAGTTAATGAAAAAATTGAGAATAACATGATTAAAAATAAGAAGGAAAAAGTGTAGAAGATGGAATGTAAATTCAAAATATGGAAGATAAAATATCAATTTTTTACCTATATTTTCTACTCATGCATTTTAAGCTTCATGTCCTGCAGTTTATTTTAATGTTTTTACTATAACGTGAATGTTTTTAAGAAAAATTGAAACTTATCCACATAAAACATTAAAAAAGTGATTCAAAGTTGAAGTTCTAGTCTCTTTTTTTTTTTGGGACTGAAGTTGAAGTTCTAGTCTAAACTTTAAATCCGAACATTTTTTTAATTAAAAGGACAAATAATAAGAATATGAGATTTTATTAACTCATATATCACAACAGTAATCAAACTTATAACATCTTACTTATAGAAGAACTTTTATAATAATAATTAAACCTGAAATTTCTCACTAATTAATAGAAGAACTTTAATTCCGCTGCATTGGCCAGAATTGAAAATTCTTTTTTTCAAAAAAAAAAAAAACCAACAAACTGACAACTGAGCCTAACCATGAAGTCAACAGCTTTCACACCCATCCACCTCTTATGCCCCAAAGAGGAACGCGTCAGTACATTTTGCCTACTTGGTCCAGACCCAATTCTACCCTGAATTGTTGCTTGTGAAAAAGACATGCTTGGAATTCCCATTTCCTGAGGGCAAAATTAAAAAAAAAAAAGGGATAATAATGTGCACAAAACATAATATTTGCAATAATTTTGTTTGTGACTTATCCCTTTCATCAAACTTTTTTGTGGCCAGTGAAAATTGAAAAGGGAAGAATGAAAAAACAAAAGAAAAAAAAAAAAAAAGGCAATCGACGAAGACATGAATACCCTCCAAAAGAAGAGCACCTTGGATCCAATTAAACTTTTAAAAGGTCATATCTTCAGTTTTGCCATTGGATCTTCAACATCAAGTATAACCAATTAATTTATAATTATTCATATATTAAAATATAACACTTCAAATTTTTTTATATTGATATTAAATATTAATTTTTTTATATATTTAATGCCTCCAACTTAAAATTTAAACTTATTTCAAAATTAAACTAATTTATTCATGAATATTTATATTTCTCAGGATGAATTAATTACTGTAGGTGTTAATTACGACCATAACTACTATTTTGTGAAGTAAACAAGTTTTGCTGCCTCAATGCTTTAGGGCAAAACATGCATATAAACAAGTAAATAATAATGAGCAATGAGTGACCAATGGAAAAATTTAAATTCATGAGCATCACTCATTCATTCACTTTTTTTTTTTTGGGCCAGACACTATTCATTTTATATACATACAATTTTATAATTATTAAATTCCTTTATGCATCACTCCTTAGCTTCTATCACCTTGTGATGTTGTCAGTTTTCTTATTTCCTCTCTCTGCAATTTGCTCAATTGGAGGATCCAATTAAAATAACTAGACATAAAGGATAACAGGGTTGCCCTTGACCTCAATTTCCGCTAATCCTGGTCATCGCATATGAGAGAACGAAGACAAGGCAGAAGGAAGGAAGAGAAGAGAAAGTGGGTGTAAGTAAAATAAAGGTTGTTCTTTTATGCTTTGAGATGTTATTAACTAGTAAATAAAAAAACAGAACAAGCATGAAGTAGCAGGGGGAGCTTTCAAGAGAGGCAGGATCCAATCCAATTTTAGATCTCAAAATCTTCATCCATCGGATCCTATAATTTTCGATTTTTGATTCTGGGGTTGAATCAGTTATTATTTTTTCCTGAGATTTTTGCTTCAACGTTTTATGGCATCTCCTGGGAATCCAAATCAACAGCCACAGCATCATCATCAGCAACAAACAAGTCAATTTGATTTGCAACATCTTTTCAAGCCTTCATCTAATCCTCCTCCTTTTCCTTCCAATCCCCCAATCTTAAACTCTTCTCCTTCATTCCTGCACCTTCTTCTTCCTCCTCCTCCTCCCCTCCTTCCTCTTCTTATCATACGCCTTCTTCTTCTTCTTATCCTCCACCCACTGGTATATACCCGTATAATCCTCACTATCTTCCTTACCAAACGCATCTCCAGCAGCAACAGCAGCCCCAAGAACAACCTCGTATTCTTCCTCATCTTCTCCAAATGCATGTTCCACCTAGACCCATGTTTCAATCGCCTTCTCCTTCATCATCCCCGCTAATTCCTTCATCTCCGAATCCTAGTAATAACTCCAGTGGGGCCCGCTTGATGGCTCTCTTTGGCACACAACAAAACCCTTCTCCTTCAAATCCTGAACCCACTCAATCCTCCTCTGTTCCGACAGTTTCTGAATTTGCAATACCTGCAAATCCGACACTCTTGCCTTCCAGCCCTTCGGCTCCAACGAGGATGCTCAGCAGCAAACTTCCTAAAGGACGTCATTTGATAGGAGACAATGTTGTCTACGACATTGATGTTCGGTTGCCAGGAGAGGTTCAACCTCAGCTTGAGGTCACTCCTATCACTAAGTATGCCTCTGATCCCGGGCTTGTGCTTGGCCGTCAAATTGCAGTGAATAGATCTTATATATGCTATGGACTGAAACTTGGTGCAATCCGGGTCCTTAATATTAATACTGCACTAAGATATTTGCTCCGGGGTCACACCCAGGTTGGTTGCTTTAACACAATCCTTTCTTTGTTTTGTTATTTCCTCGAATTTATCATTGAGTCAAATCTAGCTTCTTTGTGATAGAAAATTTGATCTCTAGCTCCCCTAAATCGGTTGATTATGTAACTGTTGACTTCTTTTGTTTCATCCCTCATATGACTTGCCTAGTTAGCTTTTGAATATGTTAAGTTTTCCCTGTCATGTATAAGAAATTCATTGCTGCTACACTCAATTGATATGTGATGATTTTATGTTTTATGTGTCACCCTTCATTTATTTAAATAAACCTTTTGTGTAGAGAGTAACAGATATGGCTTTCTTTGCCGAGGACCTTCACCTTCTGGCCAGGTAAATTCACTTCTGTGTTTATTGTTTGTCATTAAAATTGCATTGCACTGATGTATTCATTTACCCCGTTTGAATGTGCTGTCAAATTCACAGTGCTAGCACTGATGGGAGAATTTTCGTATGGAAGATCAATGAGGGTCCTGATGAGGAAGACAAACCTCAAATTACTGGAAAAGTCATCATAGCCCTTCAAATATCAGGAGTTGGTGAATCAGTTCATCCACGAGTGTGCTGGCATCCCCACAAACAAGTAATAACAAATTTGTAACTGTGATCATTTAGCTTGAATCCTCCTCCCTATCTTGATGTAAGTTTTAACTTCTTTGTTGTCCATTTCTTGGAATTGATCAATAGGAGATTCTAATGGTTGCTATTGGAAACCGCATCCTTAAAATTGACACCATGAAAGTTGGAAAAGGTGAAAGTTTTTCAGCAGAGGAGCCTCTTAAATGTTCCATTGATAAGTTGATTGATGGGGTGCAACTTGTTGGTAAACATGATGGCGATGTCACTGAGTTGTCAATGTGCCAATGGATGAAAAGTCGGTTAGCTTCAGCATCAACTGATGGCACGGTTTGCATTCCCCTCCTTTCTTTGTTCTTTTGCTTTGTGTATCTGTCTTCCAATTTTACATTGTGGGGGCTCCGAAACGATGAACATGCCTGATACCCTCTCAGGCAACATGACCCCCCCACTGGGGGTGTTCATGTCATGATGTTATCAATTGGACTTATTTTTGATAAGGTCAGTTGTTCCATCAGATATAACAATTTTAACCTATGACTACAGTAGTGTGTATGTGAAATATATTATTTTTTTCATTTCTTTTTGAACTTATTTTCTTTCAATGGATGGTATAAATAAAGTACTCCAGCTAATTAATTCATGGCATAAATTTATGGTTGAGTTCCAATATGAAGAATCATCTTCAGCTTCGCTCTACCTTTGGCTTATCAATTACTCATTCTTGCCGACAGGTAAAGATATGGGAAGAACGCAAGGCATCACCACTTGCTGTTTTAAGGCCTCATGATGGCAATCCTGTTAATTCTGTGACATTCTTGACTGCTCCTCACCGCCCTGATCACATTGTCCTTATCACAGCGGTATATGCTTCTCTTTTCTCTCATAATTGGAAATATGATATATGATTATGATTCATCTGTGGGTGTTTTTGGACTTTTGCAATGCTGCTTGGTCAATTATTCCTCTGCTGATGGTGCATCTCTCATAATTGGAAATATGATATATGATTATGATTCATCTGTGGGTGTTTTTGGACTTTTGCAATGCTGCTTGGTCAATTATTCCTTCTGCTGATGGTGCCATCCAGCATCACCCAAGCATTTTCATAAAATGATTTATTTTTGCATATTTTTCCTTTACTGCAGGGGCCACTAAATCGGGAAGTGAAGATATGGGTCTCTGACAATGACGAGGGCTGGTTATTGCCTAGTGACTCTGAGTCATGGAACTGTATCCAGACTCTGGATATAAAAAGTTCTTCTGAAGCCAACCCCGAGGATGCTTTCTTTAATCAAGTTGTAGCATTGAACCGTGCTGGTCTATTTCTGCTTGCTAATTCCAAAAAAAATACAATATATGCTGTACACATAGAATATGGACTTAATCCAACTGCTACTCGCATGGATTACATTGCTGAGTTCACAGTCACAATGCCTATATTAAGTCTTACTGGAACCAGTGATTCTTTACCAGATGGAGAACATATTGTACAAATTTATTGCGTCCAGACACAAGCTATTCAACAGTATGCACTTAATTTGTCTCAATGTTTACCTCCGCCTTTGGACAACATTGAACTCGAGAAAACAGCACCCAATAGATCTCGTGCCTTTGATGGATCTAATATAGAAGTTGGAAATATGCCTCAAGTTCATTCTAGCAACTCTGAAGCTGGCCCCATTCACAGTCTCCCTGTCAGTTTGCCTTCTTCTGATATTTCTGGTTCGCCAGAAGGTTCTGCTTCAGGCACAGAAACAAAGCCACGTGATGTGCCTTCTCATAATGGCACTGAACATATCAGTACTGCTTCACCTCCTCTTCCTTTGAGCCCAAGATTGTCACGAAAGTTATCCGATTTCAAAAGTCCATCAAATAATATAGAGACTACTTCATTAAGCGCTGATCACAGTAGTGAGCAGACATACCTTGATTGTTCAGTTGAGCAGAGAGTGGAGTCTGAAAAAGATGGTATGCGTGATGTGCCTGCATCAGTTGACAGTTTAAGGAAGAATGATAAAGAAAATGAAGCCTCTATGGCTTCCAATACTTCTACAATGTTCAAACACCCAACCCATTTGGTAACCCCGTCTGAGATATTCTCTACAGCTCCTTTATCTTCAGAGAATTCTCATACCTCTCAAGGCATTAATGTAGCCGAAGCAAAGGTTCAAGATGTTGCCGATAGTGATGCAGTAAATGCTGAACTAGAGGTCAAGGTTGTAGGTGAGACAAATTCTAATCAAGAAAAAACCGAGTCTGATAGAGAGAGAGATGCTCACACTACCATTGCTGAGAAAAAAGAGAAGTTATTCTATTCTCAGGCGTCTGACCTGGGCATTCAAATGGCCAGAGAAACTTGTAGCATTGAGGGAGTTCACCAGACAGGTGAAATGAATAATAATGACGCACCTGATCGAACTTGCAACCCTGCTAAGGGAGAAAGTCAGGATATGAGTAAGGTTGTAACTGCCAGCCTCAGTGAATCAGAAACCACTGTTGCTGCTTCACAATCTCCAGCACCATCTGCGAAAGGTAAAAAACAAAAAGGCAAAAATTCTCAAGTATCTGGTTCATCTTCTGCATCTCCTAGTCCTTTTAACTCAATGGCCTCATCAAATTATCAAGGTGGCAATTCAGAAGGCTCTACCATGGAAGCTGTTTTGCCCCAATTATCAACTATGCAGGAGATGCTAGGCCAGGTATCAATTCACATTTTTGCATTTTTTTTTAAAAAAAATTGTGTCTGTTTCTTTCAGCCTATTATGCTTGAACCATTTTTTGGAGTGTAATGTGGATTACAGGGATGCTTCATGTCTAGCCTGAGTTAACTGTTTTCAGTATTAATATGTACTGCTCTTATTTCCTCTTAATCAGACCAATTTAATTTTATAAAATATTTCCTTGATGATAAAATTTGAGTCTTTTATTTCTTTTGTCTATCAAATTTTATGGGAGTTTCCTGTAAGTATTTAGTGAAGACAGAATGCACTGCATTTTGCGACCTTGAAATTGATAGCCCTATATGTCCTTTGATCAAGTCTGATCCTTTACTTCAATGTCCTGTTTATGCATCATTCGTCTCTTTATTCCATTTCAATTAGTCTGGAACATCCACAAAGTGCACCTTATCTGTAATATCTATACTAGCAGAATGTATTTTATAATTGTGTGATTTTGTAGCACCCTGTAGTTGATATTGTTTTGAAGCCGTTGGCCTCTATCATCACGTGACTTGCCCTTGCAAACCCAAAATAAAACAACTAAAATCTCAAGTCTTTCCTGGAATTTTTTTAATAATATTCTTTAAGAATTAAGATCTCTGGTTTTGCCACTCTTATCTAGACATGTGAAAGAATGACCTTGATTGTCTCTGCTTGTTTTCTTTTTAATAACCTTTTGTTGTTCTGCAGTTAATAAGCATGCAAAAAGAAATGCAAAAACAGATGAATGTGATGGTTTCTGTCCCAATTACCAAGGAAGGCAAAAGATTAGAAGGATCCTTCGGTAGGAACATGGAGAGAGTTGTCAAGGCTAACTCTGATGCTCTATGGGCTCGATTGCTAGAAGAAAATGCAAAGCAAGAGAAGTTAGAGCAGGATCGTGCTCAGCAAATAACGAATTTGATCTCCAATTATGTAAACAAGGATTTATCCGCTCAATTGGAGAAAACTATTAAGAAGGAGATATCTTCAATTGGAACAACTGTTGCTCGTTCAATCACTCAAATCATAGAGAAGACAATATCATCAACTGTTATGGACTCATTCCAGGTTAAAAGAAATATAATTATTTGAATGTGGTAGCGTTAAATTAGTGTGTAATTGTGGTTAGCTTGGAAGATTTGAGGGAGAAAACCCCCCATTGCGAATGCTCCTAGATATGACAAGATAATTTACTCTCTTCGGAGGCAACTATAGAAAATAGTTAAACTGTCATGTCAAGGCAAACTTTCATCAATTTTATATTAGAATTGAATACTCACTTAATCAATATGATTTGGTCGAGTGTGGTATATTTCCACCTGAAATTTTTGATAAAAGTATTGTAGGATCACATCTACTTAGCTACTTAAATGTTGGCAATTTTGGTTTGTATGACTGACACTCTTCTATAAATACCGCAGAAGGGAGTGGGGGACAGGGCACTGAACCAACTGGAAAAATCAGTAAGTTCAAAACTTGAAGCTACAGTGGCTAGGCAGATACAAGCACAGTTCCAAACTTCTGGCAAGCTAGCTCTTCAGGTGAGCTCATAATCAACATTGAATGCTATTTTAAAAACGACTCAGGCATATAATATTTTGAAAAGACTTATTAGCCTATAATCGATATTGATCAATATTTTGAAAATAGCTCTTCAAAACTTTTTTCCTTGTTATCTATAACCTGTTCGTATGCAAAACATAAATTTCTGTCTGCCTGTCCTTTGCTGGTTGCTGTATATGGAATTGCTTAAATGATTGATGACCTACAAAGTTTCAATCTTCTGGGGACATTTCTGTAATTTCGACAACTTGTCATGCACATGTTCTCCATAATGCAGGAGGTATTCATGTTAAAACTCAAATGACCTCATGTTGTTTGACACATTTAATGTGTAGATTAGAATAGGATAGGATAAGGTGAACGGATAATACATGGTAGCAAACCAAGCTGTGTTCTATGTTTATGATTTCTCTTCTCTTATTATGCAACCGACTGCACAGGGTAACTATTGGTATAAAGTATAAACGAATAACTTAGACGAGATTCTCTTCTTTCTCAGTTGAAACACAAGTAACACTTGACTCTATTGAGACATCTTTTCAACTTATCCTTTCTTTTCTAATATCTATCGTTCACATGCCTATAGTGGGTTTATTTTCTTCATTTCTCTGCTCCTTTTCAAAATTCATACGACGTATCAGGACATTCTGATATTTTTGGATTGTTGAATTTGGATCTTCATTTCCTCAAGGATTATACAGAGTAAAGAAAATCTCCCTCCTAAGGGACCAAAGTAAATTGTGAGTTCATATTTATTTTGCTTGGTTGTCCGGCCAGTAGAGCGGTTGATATTTTAGAGAACAAACCCAAGATTGAACATCCCAGCTTCATGAAAGCATGACTTATCAAAAGTACAAATCCTGATCTAAAATCCCATCACACAGCCAGCAATTCTGACAAAAGTGAAACTAGAGAAAAATAGCACAAGCCTATTGATAACTGTAGATGGATGTTTATGTGGTGATCTTTGGATTAGATTCTGCCAGAAGTCAAAACTCCATAATCCAGTGTCGGTCTACGCTCACACTTAAAGTCAGAATATAGAATGAAAATCCAGCCAAATCTGGTCTGGAGAGAAATTGATTGAAGGTACATTTTTTCCTGTGAAGTGTTGGCGTCAAACATCAAGTAAGGCCTGATAGTAATTTGTTATGCATGAAGCATGCTACATGATGATAAACTACTTAAAATAAGGATCCCAAATTATTAATGTCACCCTGTAACCCTTAACATGTATAGTCATGTGGTGTCTGATATCCAACATATTCAATACATTTTTGTTTAGAGACTCTTCTAGAGCCTTAAGTTGTGCAATTTTTCTAGTATGTTCATGTTCAGTGTTTGGACCTTTGCAACTTCACATGACTTGATTTATTGCCTTGTCAAGGCAACATTTTAAAATAAGGTCTGTTTGAATTCTGAACTTTGCCGATACTAAAGGTCAGGGAATTTGCAGTTTTATTTCGACATCTGAAAGCTCTATCATTCTGGCTTCTCCAATTTTTTAATTTTCCATCCTTCTCTAATCTCCAAGATATTTGAAGCTGTGTTTGTATGCAACTATAGCTTAGAACTTGATCTCATTCTGGACCATTTGTCTGCTCTAGTTTTGCAGGCATGAATGGTCTGGAACTTGTTGCCTGTTTGTGTAGCTGTGGTTAGTTAATTATTTTGGTGTTTCAATTTGTAGGAAGCACTCAAGTCTAGTCTGGAAGCTTCAATGATTCCTGCATTTGAGATGTCATGCAAAGCTATGTTTGAGCAAATTGATGTGGCATTTCAGAACGGAATTGTAAAGCACACTACTGCTATTCAACAGCAGTACGATTCTACTCATTCTCCTCTAGTCATGAGTTTAAGGGTATGTGCAGTGAGACTATTTTGGAAACAGATAATGATTTACACCTTCAGCTTTTTCTTGTCCTGCCACAGTAGCATGTTCTTTCCTTTTTTGTCATCTTACACCTGTTTGTGTTGTTGTTGGCTGACAATTTTTTTTTTCCTGGACGTGGTAGAATTAATTTTTTGTCTGTTGAATTACCTCTAGTACACAATCCAAAAATCTATATGTGATATATATGGCATTTTTATGTGGCTGAGGATTTCATTTAGTTTACATTATTGTTTTTGAAAGGAATAATGTAGCATTTATGATCTATAACAAGGCATTTTTGCAACAAAATATGACCATATAAACAAGTAAATAACCTTTTTTGAAGTAGAATAATTTGGAAACTATAGGCTTTATCTCAGTTCTATGCTAAGACAGGAAGTTCATTATGCATCTGTTTATAACTACATACATCTCTAGCTGACTTAGAACATTGATATGCTAATATAGAATCTGTTTGACTTTCACAGAGGTATTTGTATTTGAACACGTTTTTGCATGCATGCTTTTATACATGGAACCTGTTGTGGGTATTTAAGCATCATAATGATATATGAAAAGGTCAATTTGATCTCACCAACCTAGGCATTTTTTTTTTCCTACTCAGAAATATCAATACTGAGTTAAAGTCGAATGTAAATGTGCGCCTCAACACCATAATTTTGACTCTTTAAAAGAAGTCTTTTCATAACTCGGTAATAACAAATATCTAAGAGCTGCACTTATATTTGTTCTCATAAGAAGGGATATGATGATCTGAAAAAGCTATACTTGTGGTTTATTGGGTATGGAATTAACTGTATGATTGGCTTATGTTTGAAGTCTCACATGTCTGATTCCTCATGGTTGAATACTCAATTTGCAACTTCCATGTTCCACAGGATACAATTAATTCAGCATCTTCAATTACTCAAACCTTGAGTGGACAATTGGCTGATGGCCTACATAAACTATCAGAAATTGCAGCTACCTCCAAAGTGGCAGATTCCTCAGTAACGCAAATCAGCAATGGTTTGCACGAGATTGTACGTTTTTCTTTGTCATCCCCTTTTATTCTTATTCCCAAAAAGTAGCGTTCTTGATGTTTGTCACTGCAAAATCACTCTTATATCACAGGCCGAGGATCCAACCAAAGAACTATCAAGGTTGATAAGTGAAAGAAAATTTGAGGAAGCATTCACTGGTGCCCTTCTAAGAAGTGATGTTTCAATAGTTTCTTGGTTGTGCTCTCAGGTATGGCTGCCATTGAATAGCTATTCCGAAGAAATAATCATGTCGAATAAAGCATAAAAATGGAGATAGAGGAGGTTGTTTGTGTTTCTTTTTAGTGTACTGAAAAGACATTTATAAATGTTTGCTATCATATTCTCCAGGATTAATTTTTGGGGGAAAAAAATCGACTCCTTATAATTAGGTCCTCCGAGGAAAAAAAATTGCATCGTGTTGTTATTCCACAATCTAATGGCAAACTTATACAAGAGCATAATGCAATGGGAAGACAGTGGGATGTGACTGTTTGAGATTCTTGCACGCATTCCTCCAATATAAGTTTCCATTTCTTACTAGATTCTCTTGTATATTTTTCTATGTTCTATCACCCAAAAAAAAACTCAAAATCACTATTAATTTAAAATATAAAACTACTCTCTTTACTGTCCAAAAAGAGATGAAATCAGATTTCTAGATATTGTTATTGTGCATTGCCACTGTAACATCTACTTTCATACCCCCCTGACCAGGTTGATTTGGCTGGTATATTGTCGATGGGGCCACTGCCATTAAGCCAAGGAGTTATTCTGTCTCTTCTCCAGCAACTATCATGTGACCTCAATGCTGAGTCACCCAGAAAATTGGCATGGATGACCGATGTGGCTGCTGCAATAAACCCGGCAGATCCTTCAATCGCGGTGCACGTTAGGCCAATATTGGAGCAAGTGTATCAGATTCTGGGCCATCATCGGGCGCTACCAACTACTTCCTCATCAGAAGCAAGCGCAATTCGCCTGCTTATGCATGTCATCAATTCGGTGTTATTGAGCTGTAAATGAACTTCACTTTGTATTTTATTACCTGTGCAGAAAATGGAAGTCTCAACTTTGGTCTGTATAGAAATCTAGATAGTTCAGTGGACAAGGTGAACTATTTATGTAGCTAGCTGTCTTGTACAATTGATTATTTGTGTGAAATAGCCTCATTTCTGTCTGTTGTATTGTACTTTACATCTGAGATATAGTCCTCATCAAATTGAATCTCTTGCATTTTTGTTACCAAAAGGCCCACTTGGTATATCTGAAAGGGACTAGAGGGATTAGAAAAGGAATCATGCAGAGGGCTTGCATGGAACAATGTAATCCTTCATTTATGGTAATGTACTGATGGAATTGAGAGCATTTTCAATAATGTGGACTAAATTTTATTCAAATATCGGGTTTTATTCTTCCTGCAATTCATTTTTCAACGATTTCTCTGATTTCTTCGTGTAGCCTTTGAGCGAGGAACAGTATAATTCTTAAAAGTAGTTCTCTTTATAACTTGTCACCAATTCCAAATCATCAACTCTATCTTGTTTATTTCTTGCTATTGGCAGCGTATGATAAATAACTTCAGCAATGGCCATTCTTATCGTCATCTATTTGCATTTAAGAAATAGTTAAACAGAATCGTATTCCTGTGAATGGGAGCTGTCCTGATCACAAGTATCCAGCTAAGTTCTGTATATAATACTGAATGTGGGGCTATTTTTTCGTCAATAAGATGCTGTTTTTAATTAAAAAAGATATGGTCGTAAGATGATAATCTTTATGAGTACTAAGGGTGAGTTTGGCATCCCATATAATTACTTTAAAAAAGTGTTTCAACATTATTTGAGATAATTTTCTTCGCATATTTATTTTAAATTCCGTAAAATTACTTCTAAAAAAACTAATACAAAAAGTGATTTTTTGATAAGGGGATTGAGCAGTAGGATCAGGTGCTTTTTTGGGGGACTAATATTTTGCACTTTCCTCCTATCATGTTTTCTGTGTAATCTTTTGCCATCTATGATTGTATTTTAGAGCTGAAATTCTCTAAAAATTCTGAACACAAAAGTGATACAAAAACTCCCAACTGTTTTCTATGAAGTATGAACAAACGCACATTGGAGAGGTTTATCGTTGCCCATCATCTTTTGAGAAAAATTAGTCTTTGCTGTGATCTTTCAAATAAAGGACTAATGAATGCTAAATTTTTTTTTTTAAAAAAAGATAAATGTTTAGTAGGAGTCACTAATGTTTTGTACATTTATTGTAAATCTAATCAAGGTCATTTATATTCTCAAAAGACGCAATGAATATAATATATTCATGGTCACTTTGTGATTAGTATAAGGGTAAAGAGAAATACTAACCCCAAAAAACTAGCATATTAGGATAAAGAATCTTTTGAATTTATAAACCATACAATATTTGCAAGATTTCTTAATATGAGACTTATAACAATGCACCCTCTTGAGAGGCGACACCCTCAGCAACTCCACATCACAGTACTTCACTCAGCCTCTTGTCAGTCAAAACACTCCATGGATAACCCTCTCTTGTTGGCTGACTCTCAATAAAAGTACCGATGTAATGAAAATAAACTCAAAAAAAGAGCTTAATCCCAAAAGACTAGCTTATTAGAAAAGAGAATGTGTTATAAGTTTCACATTAAAGAATTTCACAAGTGTTATGTACTTTATAAGTTCAATAAGTTCTTCCTCTTAATAGACTAGTCTTTTGGAATGAATTCTTCTTTTACTTATTATATTGATGCTTTCATTAAGAGTCGGCCAAGTGGAGATTCCTGAATATGGGATTCATAACACACTTTCGTAATCCTGAAAATTTCATAATAAATATTACACCGATTTGGTATTCTCAAGGTAAAATGTCTTTTTTTAAAAAAAAAAAAAAATAGATACGAAGTGTTCCAACCTTAAACATTGTTCACATCCCATCACACTTCCATTATCCACCTAGTTAAATGATTCCGTTATCTCATTTATAGCTCATAAACTGCCAACATCTAACTTGAAGCATACGAAGGTTTTTATACATATCAATTATAATAACTAATTAATCTATTTTTTTAAAAT